AAATATTAGTATTGCAGTGTATATAAATAATACATTTGACATGCTCTACATTTACCTTGGATTTCAGAAATGGAATTAATCTGGACACTTTTAGCAGCAAGTGGCGGAAGTCTGGTGCTTATAATAATAATTATTGTAAGTGTTAGACAAATTCAAAACAGATTGCAAAATACTAAGAAGAAAGAAGTGTACGAAACAGGTATTGTAATTGTTAATGGAAACTTAATTGTAAATAAAAATAATACAAGTACAAGTATAATGCCAAAAATTGTATCAATTGTAAAATTTAGAGTTAAAAATGATATAAAATAAATACAACAAGCAATTGATAATTTTAAAAAAAAATAGTGCGTTTTATATTTACTACAGATAAGACTGAAAATAATGAAATGAAAAAATTGTAAGATATTTTTATGATTAGTAAATGCTATAGAATCAGGTAAATAAATTATTATAATAGATAAAAGACTATAATTTCAGAGTGTGAAATCTACGAAAACTCGAGTTATGGTCATGAGTGACTATAATAAGCGTAATTCCCACAGAACCAGACATATGCCCCAACTCAAGGAAAAAAATCTTCAAAATGTGCATATCTTGTAAATTATCTTGTTGCAAGTAATAAATACCATTAGGATCACATTTATATAAGCATTTTGATAGAGTGAAAGAAAATTTATAATTTGAATGAGGAGAAGCTACATTTTTGTAATTAAAACTTCTTTCAGTGCTGATAATACAAAATTTACCTTTGTAAAAAGTCAATATTTTGGATTTTCGCTTTCTTCATGGACATTTTTCTTTTTTCCTTTATATTTTTCCGAGAGAGATAGTTTTTTTTTGAGAGAGAGAGAGAGAGAGAGAGAGAAAGAGAGAGAGGGAGTTTACTTTATTAAGATATTTATAACCAACTTTGACATAAACAAACATGCATGTAAAGGGTGTTAAGAAAGTTCGTTCCACATTTTTCTTTTATTTGCGACAATAAATACGATGAGAAGATATATGAAATTTGTGATATTTCATGTTTACAGAGTCCATTGTTGCTACTGATTAGGTTTTAACTGTCTTTTGTTGAATCAATAAGGGGAGGGAAGGTATTAGAAAAGATGTTTTTTGTTAAGAAAAATTAGGGATGACGCATTTTTTTGTGACATATATCAATCACACAGGTCAAAACAGCCTTTTAAACACTACGCAAAAATTATCAAATCTGTAAAAAATTTCAATATGACAAACCTATTCTTTTGAAAAATGAGCTGTCGATCTTATACCTATACTCATCAACTTGTCTGACGCAAGATAAGCTATGAAGAAATAAAAGTAAATGATCCTTTATTTTCACTCAAAATGACTTGCATTTCTATCATTCGAATGCTTTAAAGATGTTACATATATTTTCATATGAAAGAAAAATCCTATAATTTCTTGCTAGAAATGAATTGCTATAAATCTACAGCAAACTCTTGTGATTTTGTCAAACTTGAAAATTCATCTCTTGAGTTAAGTACTACGAGGGGTGATCAAAAAGTTCGCGAACTATCTCTATATCTACAAAACCACAACTCAGATTAGAATGAAAATCGGTACATACATAGCCATACATAAGGTCTATAACTAGCCTATGCCGAATAAAGTTTTTCTCCTTGTTTGTGACGTCACAATGTGAAAATGACGTCACTATGTAGGTCATGTGACGAAAAATGGTTGTCTCATTCGAACTCGTTCAACAAACGACTGTACAATTTAATTGTATATCTTAGAAATCCCTCTACAGGATCAAATAATAATTTGTTCACAATTTATTAAGATTAATAAGTTCCTATAAATTAAATCAATGATTGGATTGATCGTTTTAGTGAAGGAAGGCAGATGGTTAAAAGTGATACTTGTCATCTTGCCTAGTGAAAGCAAGTTTGAAAAGATATGTGTTTTTAATTAAGCAATTTGCTATCAAAGACCTCCAATTTACAATTTGAAAAATAGTTGAATATTTGAACAATAATATAGTTATTTTAAAATACCTAAGATATCGTTCCCTTTAGATTTTAAACATATTAGATATGATAAAAAGGAGGCATCCATTCTCTATCCACCTTGAATAAAGGTTTCTCCCGAGACAGAAGATTTGTGGTTTAATGGTCGCCATGCTTTTCTTGGAAAGGATATTCTTATTCACCCGTTCTGTTGCCGATATTTGACCATTTCTGACAAATGAACTGTTCTTGTCATAAAAATTAACTCACATGGAAAGAAATATAAAACTCAGAAAAATCTTTCTACTTTTGTGACAGAACACGTGACCGCCAATATCATGTGATTTGCGCATGCGCAGATCGGTGCTTGATGTGCATTAAAATCGGAGAGGATTAATTTAAAATATAATCAACATTGAAACCAAATATTGTTTCTTATATGGAAGTTATTCAATTAGTTCACGAACTTTTTGATTACCCCTCGTGCTTTGAAATTTTTGAAAATATTTCATCATGGAACGAACTTTCTTAACACCCCTTATATATCTTTCAAATGTTCTATCTGCATCGTAAGATAACTGTTCTTCATTGTTTATTAGATCGATATTTAGATTTAATAATAATACAAGAAGTACTTGATAGTTTCTAAAATACTCTTAAACTTGTTTTAACCTCTATATTTGTTTCTGTTCTATGTTGTTTCTGCTGTCCTCGTATTAAAGCGAAAACTCTTTCTTTGAAGAAAGGTTTTAGTTATAGTTTTCTCTTGCACATGACCACAGATACTTTGAAATTGGTGTGTAAATATGTATGGTCCTATTGATATGTAAAAAGTAAAAGGTATGTAGACTCGGCATTCCTTTATGTTTTAATAGGAATATTATATCAATATGTGCATACATATTTAGAAACCAAAACCCAGTTACATGAGAACAGGCAGGAAATGCACTTGCAAAAAAAAAAAAAAAAAAAAAAAAAGAAAGAAAAAGAAAATCACAACTAATGTGGCTCTACTATTTTTATTCCTAATATTAAGTTCTGATTAACAATCTTTGAAAATTTTAATGTTCATGTATTTTATTTTTTGACACATCAAGAATGTATACAAATAATTTTAAACATTAGCCTTACTCTAACGAAAAAAAAAAATATTGTTAACTATAGTTAATTATACGAGGGGTAATCAAAAAGTTCGCGAACTATATGTATATCTACTAGAAAAAAAAATTGGTACACACAGAGCCATAAACAATTTCTATAAAAAGCATATGCTGAAAAAGTTTTGCTCCTTGTTTGTGACGTCACATTGTGAAAACAACCTCACTTTGTAGGTCACTTGTGACGAAAAATTGTTGTCTCAGTCGTACTCGTTTAACGAACGACTGTAAAATTTATTGAATATCTCAGAAATCCCTTTGAAGTAGCGTATACTAATCTGTACACAGTTTATTAAGACAAATGACTTCCTATAAATTCAATCAAAGATTGAATTGATTGTTTTAGTAAAAGAGGGCAGATGGTTAAAAATGATACTTTTTATGTTGTCCAGTGAAAGCAAATTTTAAAATATATGTGTTTTTAATTAGGCAATTAGCTATCAAAGAAGTCCAATTAACACTTTGAATATATAATAATAGTTGAATATTTTAACAATAATATATTCATCAAATACCTAAGATATCGTTCCCTTTAGATTTTAAACATATTAAATATGATAAAAAGGAGGCACCCACTCTCTATCCACCTTGAATAACCGTCTCTCCCGAGACAGAAGAAACGTCTCTCCCGAGACAGATGATTTTGGTTTTGATGATCGCCATGCTTATATTTGGATAGGATGACCATTTCTGACAAAAGTCAGAATTGTTCTTGTTATAAAAATTAACTTACATGGAGGGAAATATAAAACTCAGAAAAATCTTTCAGCTATTGTGACAGAACGCTACGGAGGGGTTCACGTGACCGCCTATATCACGTGGTTCGCACATAAGCAGAGCGGTGGTATATGTGCATTAAAATTGGAGAGGACTTATTCAAAATATAATCAACACTGAAACTGAATATTGTTTCTTTAATGGAAGTTATTCAAGTAGTTCGCGAACTTTTTGAACACCCCTCGTAGTTTACAATATTTAAGTTAACTATTATAACAGTAAATATTTTTTTAATATTGAATTTAAATGGATATATTATATTTTTAAAACTTCCTTTTCTTTTAAATTTCTTGTATAACTTTTTACATACTTTATAAAAAAATTTCTTCATTGATCTATAATTTACGATATATACTGAAAAGGTTCTAAATCTGCAAAAATTTCTAAAGTAATGTTTTATACTAAACTTTACATAACTATAGTAAATTTTTGTTAAAATTATTCCCGTAATAATGAAATTTACGTAAACAGACTACCCCTAAACCCCCGCGGATGAGACCGATTAAACTTTGTCCTTTTTGTTTTACTTTAATAAGAAATAAACCATTCTTCAAGACCATTATAAAAGAAAGAGCCAGCCTTTATTTTATTCTTCAGCATTTTCATATAAACTTTAATTACAAAACAGACATGCATAAGCTTAAACAAAACTCTTCTTTACAATAAAAGAACTGATTTTTTTTTCAATCACAGCAACTGAATGATGTCAGAAAATTAGGCAGTATTATAAGCTTACTAGCAATAAACTGAAACCAGATCTTTTTTATTTGACAATAGAAGCGATTTTCGAGGTAAAATGTATTTAAAAATCTTCACGTTTCTAAAAAAATGTTTCATTAGTTTCAGCATAGACAAGAAAAAAGTTCATTTACTTTGTAATCAAAATATTTTTAACCATCTCCCTCAATAACAGCGATATTTTCCTGCGTTTCGTGTTTGGAAAGAAGATAGATGAAAGAAACAGTGCATTAATACAAAGTAAGTACTTAAGTCTTCCTTTATTGACATTATCCTTTTGATTATCATCTATTTCTCATGTATTATCTATTATTTACAATCATCACATAAAGAATTATGAAATGGAGAATATTGCTCCTTTTACAAGATATAGAATGATAAGCACTCAAATATATGCTATAACTTAACTCTGTAAACCGATTTTATCAAAATTTAAGGAAAGTTTGGAAAAAAATCTCTCCATGCTGGTCGCCAAGCTTTCATTTATCTCAAGTATACTACTTGTGGACCTTTGTTATGCACTGACCAATATCACAGGTGAGTCACAGAACCCTCTTAATCGATTAAGTATTACTTGCATACCAGTATTTATCTTGAAAGTTAATACCCCTTCCCACACTCTCTTGCATGTTTTAATTTCCATATTCATTCTTTATTTGTAAAGTTATGTATAAATTTTACTTTGTGATTTCTTATGCTGTAGATTCAATGTACAGTAGATCACTACATTCTCTAAATTTTCACGGATGACTAATATACGCAAGAATAAAATTTTCGCGAGCTCACTGTATCGCTTAAAGTTCTACGCGAAAATAACGCTGTCGGAAATAAAATGTGAATTATGGTATATGGAATAAAAACTGCTTCTCTTATTCAATTTTATATTTATGCCTACCTTTCTTTACAAAATCTCTTTTTTTTAAAGTGTCATTTGAAAAAGATGCTTGTGAGTCCAGTAAGCGAGCTGTTAGCGACACAACAATATATCATGTGACATATGACGGTTCGCCAATTGATTATTTGTTGTGTAACATGATGAAATTCTATGGCGGAGACTCCTCCCTGATCAATGAGTACAGAGTCTGTATCTCTCTACTCCAGTATGACGATCCCGACTGTGCTATATGGTTTGGATACATTACGACACCAGCAGAAACGAGAGTTTGTAGCTTACTTTGTTATTTCACATCGTAAAATAATGTATACATGTAGTTTGCATTTTTTTCACCAATTAATGGTTATTATATTTGGGTACAAGGAATACATATTATATTCGTGATACCGGTATCGTATTTTTTTTAAGGAAAATGTAATGCATGTTAAGAGGCATTAGTAAAACAAGATAGTTTTCCTCGGAGGAGGTCATATTCTTAAACAGATTTTAATGCCCCCTTCGAAGAAGGAAGGGCTCACTAATTTACATTGAAATGGATTTTGGTATACAGTTTTGTCATAAGAATAAATCCTAGTCACGTTTTGTTTTGGGTACGAACGGACTATTTTGAACAGAGTTATGCCCCTTGGACTTAAAAAATTCCAATTACGTATTTGCTGTTTGCATTCATTTTCTTTGCTGAAGTTGCACATATTGAAATGAAACATAGTGCAGAGATTTATGATATGAATATCTAGGTCAGGTTCTGTTCTGGGTACGATCGAGCCATTTTCTTCAGATTAATCTTCCTTTGACTTACATAAATTTTTATTATTTGGGGGAGGGAGCACAAGCGTTCTACAAACATTTCTTGCTTCTTTTTAACAAAAACTTTTTAAAGCAATTATAAAAATAAGGTGCTTTTTCAAAAGGTTTAAAACCTCAAAAACCATGTGGGATTTGTCTATCTGTCTGAAGAGTTGATTAAGGATGAATTCTGCTGATCATTTTACCACAAGTGGGTCTTCGTACTTAAACGTGTCGTAAAATTCAAACTGACAACAATTTACAAACAAGTTTTTAAAGTTTTTATGATTTACATGTTTAACTATACTTATTTTTAAATAAAAAATCTTTCTAATTTGTATTGATGACCAAGACGTGTGGAAAAATACGATATTTACGACATAGGCCTAAGATAGTCGACAAGTGAAATCGACATGATCGAGAGGGGAAGAGTACGGGATCTCCCGTTTCAAAGCAAACAGGAATACCCAATGGCACTCCGTTAAAAGAGCCAACCGACAGAAATTTTAAAACATTTAAAAAATCGCCGATATCACAATCAGGCCATGTACATTCTCGAAAGCGGTCCCCAAACATGCCAGCCAAGAGCGCCGAAGTGTGCTGACGACGTTCCAGTAGCAGTGGAAAAGCGAAAATGTAGGTTTCCGATGCTTTCAAACTTATTGAAATAGCAATGTTTATGCATTATAGATACAAAAGTTTCAAAATACCTAGTATCCTGTCACATCGCAAACTGAACATATTATATTCTACATACATGTACGGAACGTTAGGCATATTAAAGGGGTCTTCAGATTCGTGCAGACGGCAGCATTCATATTATCCTTTTCGTTGCAACTTTAGCTCGTAGTATATGGTAAAATTCCTTTGATATTGTAAATGCAGAATATCTATGTGGTAGTGTAAGATACATGGCATCCTACTAGCTTGGGCTAGAGGGTTAACCCTTTAGCTCGATCGGTAGAGCACTGGACTGGCAAGCCAGAGGTCCCGGGTTCGATCCCCAGCAGAGGCAATTATCAATATCTACAATTTATAAATAACATCCATACACTATATATCATATTCTTTGTGTCATAAAATACATTTAGTACAAAGTTTAAAATCAACTAGTTTATCAGCTTTTGACAAACTTAAATAATTTAATAAATCTCTCATATGCCTCTTTCATTCAGTAATTAATAGAAAAATATTAATATGAAATAGAAATGTCAAAAAGTCAACTTACTGTCAGTGGTCTTAAAGATTTCTCCAAAAATACAAAAACACAACTATACACATTGACTGCTCCTTGGCTAGTAATTAGCTAGACACACTGGACAAAGGGGGTCAAAGGTTTTGGCGGGAAATATTGACCAATGGCTATTTTTACTTATGTATTTATTCAAGGTTAAAAGTTAAGTTTAAAGTTTAGGGCTCTAGAGATTTCTAGACTTTAATTAGAGTAATTTGTTACAAGTTTATTTACATGTTTAATGTTTAAATAAAACATTTTTATTTTAAATCAAGTTTATTATTGAAAGTTATTTTATAACTTTCAATGGCATCTGAAAGAAAAATACAATAAATTAAAATCAATATAAAATCAATACTATCACACACTTCCCCTCCTTTTAAATGACGTCCTCGTCATCTTATCTCTGTAGAAGTGCGAACGAATAATCTGAAAATTAAAAAAAAATAAAATCAAAGTGAATTATCAGTCATAAAAAATTATTTCTGCAACAGGATTTCAAGGAAAGTAGAGGACAGCTGCTTCTGGTCTACACCGGAGAGATGGTTATCTGAAACAAGAGATTTTAAATAATTACATTTTAATATCCAATCTGGATCTTTAGCAGGTTGTACGGACATGGAGTATTCTCCTGTCTTCATCCAAGCAGGTTTAGTCCTCGCTCTTACTGGTCTTGTTGGCTTTTCAGGTTCTTTGGGCAAATCTGCTGTCTGGATACCTGCAGCTTGATTTTCAGTTTCTTCTTGAGTGGCAGCTTCTGCATTTTCATCATCAGCCTGTTGTTCTGCAACAACTTCAGCTTCTTCAACTGCTTCTTCAACATGTGAATCCTCATCTTGCAGAGAAAGAATTTCAGTCTCTGGCTCACAATTCTGGGAAGCATCAGATGTGTTGCTCTTTTCTTCAAGAGTGAGAGCGTCCTCTCCCGCATCTGTGTCTTCATCTGTTGGTTCAGTCCAGCCAGCTGGGATCTGACCGTCGTCAGTCTGATCTGTACCAACACTTAAAGGAATACTATTTCCTTCAACACGGTTTGGTGGACGTGGACCGGTCCATATGATTTCTTCGTCACTGCTGTCACTTTCGTCTTTTGTATCCGGTGTATTTCTCTTCGCCTTTCTTGGTAATCTCTTTCTGGGTCTAGGAGTAGGTCTTATAACTCGTGGTTCTGTTGGTTGGAAATCCAAATTTCCAATAGGCAAGAGAAGGTTTCTATGTACTGTTCTCTGTCTGCCAGAACCTTCTTCTTTTACGACATAAACTGGAATGGTGGAATTTGGTTGATCTTTAATAGTGTATGGTGTTGATTCCCACTTGTCAGCTAGTTTATGCTTTCCATCAAAGCTTGTAATCTTTACCAAAACTCTGTCACCTTTTTCTAGAATAGCTGATCTAACTTTCAAATCGTAGTTACGCTTCTGTCTTTCTTGAGCTTTTTGGTTTGCTGCTGTGGCTAATTGATAAGCTTCTTTTAATCTGGACTTTAATGATTCAACATATTTTGGAATTGGCATTTCTGAAGAAGATGTTGGTATGTTAAAAGCAATATTGGTTGTCTACCAAACATTAAGAAAAATGGTGAATGTTGAGTTGATTCTTGCTTCATACAATTGTAGGCATGAACTAATGGTCCAATATGGGATTTCCAATCTTTCTTTTGGTCAATGTTCAAAGTTCCTAACATCTGAAGAAGTGTCCTGTTGAACCTTTCACAGAGTCCATTACCCATCGGGTGGTAAGGTGTAGTTCTGGACTTCTGGATGTTCATGATATTACACAGTTCTTCAATAACTTTTCCTTCAAACTGGGCTCCTTGATCGCTATGGATTTTTTGCGGAATTCCGTAATGAACGATGAACTGGTTAAATAATACATCTGCGGTGGTCTTAGCAGTTTGGTTCTTGGTAGGAATTGCTTGGGCATACTTGGTGAAGTGATCTGTCATTACTAGAATGTTTTGAAAATTACCCTTGGAAGATTCTAAAGTCAAATAATCTATACACAGTAGCTCAAGGGGTTGGGAATGTGTAATATTTATCAAGGGAGCTTTCTCTGTTTGAGCTTTTCTTAGAACGCATCTGTTGCATGACTTGATGTAACGTTCAATGTCCCTAGTCATTCCATGCCAGTAGAATCTATCTTGAATAATGGCTGTTGTTTTCTCTCTACCAGGATGTCCCATATCTGTATGTAAAAATTTGAAAACTGCTTTCCTACAAGAGAGTGGTAAAACAAGTTGATGTCTCATGGATTCGCCATTTCTTGTTTTTCTGAAAAGAATTCCATCATTAATATAAAATTTATCAAAATTTCTGAGCATAGCTAAATGAAATGGAATGTTGCTGCTGGGGAGGTTCTCTTTTCTGGGAGGTATTCCTGTTTTGACCTGGGAAAACCAAAAACGAATATCTTGGTCTTTACACTGTTCTCTTTTGATGTTGAAATCTGAAAATTTTGAAAGATCTGAATGAATTATGTTATCAGTAATATCTGGTGAAATAGACAAACATTCAATAAATGGTACATTGGCATGATGAACATTACAAATACTTTTAATTGTTTCAACAGAAATCTGTTCTCTGTCACGAACATCTGAAATTTCAGGCAATCGTGAAAGTCCATCTGCATCTGCGTTGCTTTTACCAGGGCGGTAAAAAATATTAAAGTCATAGGTGGCTAAAGATGCAATCCATCGTTGAGAAGTAGCATCCAACTTTGCAGTAGATAAGACATATGTCAATGGGTTGTTGTCAGTTATTACATCAAAAGTTGTTCCATACAAGTAATCTGAAAATTTTTCTGAAATTGACCATTTAAGAGCTAAAAATTCAAGTTTATGGATAGGATATTTTTTTTCAGATTTGGAAAGACCTCTGCTTGCGTAAGCAATGACACGTTTCTGTCCGTTCTGCAGCTGGTACAACACAGCGCCTAATCCTTTCTGGGATGCATCTGTGTGGATCTCAAATGGTTGACCATACATGGGAAAACCTAAAATTGGAAAATGAATTAAACAATTTTTTAATTTCTGAAAGGAAATGTCTTGTTCTTTTTCCCAGTGCCAGTTTGGTGGTGATGTATTTGCAGCTTTGGAATTTCTCCTGATCTTCTTTGAGGTATCTGGAATTAAATTGGTGAGAGGTTTAGCTATTTTTGAAAAATCTTTAATAAATTTCCTATAATACCCAACAAAGCCTAAAAATTGTCGAACTTGATCTGGATTGATAGGTGTTGGCCAGTCTTTAACTTTCTGGATCTTTTCTGGGTCAGGTTCAATTCCATTTTCTGAGACGATATGTCCTACATACTTGACTTTTTTCTTGCAGAATTCACATTTCTTAGGAGATAATTTCAAGTTGATCTGTCTTAACCTCTGAAATATCTGCTCTAGTCTACAAAGATTTAAAGCCCTAAACTTTAAACTTAACTTTTAACCTTGAATAAATACATAAGAAAAAATAGCCATTGGTCAATATTTCCCGCCAAAACCTTTGACCCCCTTTGTCCAGTGTGTCTAGCTAATTACTAGCCAAGGAGCAGTCAATGTGTATAGTTGTGTTTTTGTATTTTTTGGAGAAATCTTTAAGACCACTGACAGTAAGTTGACTTTTTGACATTCCTATTTCATATTAATATTTTTCTATTAATTACTGAATGAAAGAGGCATATGAGAGATTTATTAAATTATTTAAGTTTGTCAAAAGCTGATAAACTAGTTGATTTTAAACTTTGTACTAAATGTATTTTATGACACAAAGAATATGATATATAGTGTATGGATGTTATTTATAAATTGTAGATATTGATAATCCATATAAGCCATACACACAAATCAGTATTAGAGAGGGATTCATACCCATAGTCTGGTATGTTGCTATATGTACATAAAGCAAGTATATAATTGTAAATAGTCATTATATTCACTACATGTATTATGAAGTGAATAAGAGAAATATCATTTGTATATCTAAAGTCAAGAGGTATAACTCATTGATATGTGTCAATATTCATTATTATATTACCTAATTAAATATATAGTAATTATCTGATTTTATGATGACAATAGATTCTGCTGTTATATGTGATATCAACTTGAGTAAATGTATTTTATATTATTTTGCAGAATCTGCTTTATGATGATGCATTTGGTATTTATGCAACTGTAATAAACATCATCACAGTGAAACATCTTGTTTTCAATTGCTGCTCCCGCTACATTCAAGATGCTCTTCAAATGTGTTGGAAAAAATAATGATGTCATCCAGATAGATGTAGCAAATCTTGAGATGTAATCCGTCAAATGCTTCCTCCATGAGTCTTTGGTAAGTTGCCGGAGCATTGCATAGACCAAATGGCATCCGGTTAAACTCGTAAAAGCCAAGGGGACCAACGGTGAACGCTGTCCGCTCCTTGTGTTTCTCAAAGACCTCTATCTGGTGATAGCCACTCTTCATATCTAGGATTGTAAAGAACTTATTATTAGAGAGAGCTTCTAAGATTTCATCAGTTCTTGGTAAGGCATAAGAATCCTTTTTAGTTCTGTTATTTAGTTCTCTGTAGTCAATGCACATTCTTAGAGTTTTATCTTTCTTTCTACACAGTACGACATTACTTGACCAAGGTGATTTTGATTTCCTAATAAGTCCTGCATCAATCAGACCTTGAAGATGGTTTTTGACTTCCATGTACATATTTGGTGGAATTTTTCTGGATTTTTGTTTGAAAGGTGTTTCGTCGATTAGTTCTATTTTATGTTGAACTAGCGTGGTATGTCCGATGTCTGTGTCTGATGATGAAAATACATCTTGATATTTCTGGAGAAGATCAGTCAGGACTTGTCTCTCTGATGTTGTTGAGCTCTCATCTATGTGAAGTAACTTCAAGTTGTCATTAGAGTTGTCTCCCTTAGATTGTGTGATTTCTTCTATGTTGACAGGTTGTAATTCACACAATATGGCCTTTGGAGATATGGTGACTGTCCTTGTTGTAATATTGTCAATTTGTACAGAAATCAGTTTGTCACATGGATATTGGTAGTTAACTACAAATGGTACTATGTCTAAGTCCACAGGAATTCTAGACCTTGGTGTTGCTTGTAAAAGTGCACAAGTTGCATGATAAGGTACTGCTTTGTCAACATAACCTTGTAACGTGACTGAAGAATTTGGTTTAATAGTAACACTGTTCTTGTGTACCGATTTCACAACGCCGAGTCTGTTACTGTTCCTCTGTAATTCCTTTTCTCGGAGTAGCAATGATCTTAAAGTCAGGTACCATGGTAAATGTAAGTCTGTTTCTTGCAAGCACCTACCACCAAATGTTTCCTGCAAATCATTAAGTACATGCTGCAAAATATTTGTACCGAGAAGAATAGGAACTTCTTGATTGTAGTTATTCTCTGGGACGACTAAAAGTAGGCATGGGCATGGCTGTTCAAGCGAAGGTATGCCAAGGGAAGTAATGCTCACTTCTATGTATCCTGAATAAGGTAAACATTTACCATCTGCGCACTCCACATTAAGAATATTTGTGACTGGATGTAATTCTAGGTGACTTAAATTGTTTCTATAGAAAGAGTCGCATACTGTAGATACAGTAGAACCAGTATCTAATAACGCTTTACAATCAATTTCCTCTACATTGATGTTCACTTCTGTTGCTTCTCCTATTAGTGCTAATGTCTTGTTTATAGGGCGACTGAAATGGTTTAGGCCTAGTGTTTGCCCTCTAACACCGGCCTGCCGTTGTTTAAATCAGTTCTTTGTAGATTCACTCGGCATCCAAAGGCTAAATGTCCTGATTGTCCACACCTTCTGCATATAGGCTCATCATGATAAGATGATTGTCTACCCATTCCTCTCATACCTCTTCTGTTTGGATAAGATGATCTGACTCTTGATCTTCCTCTGCTGAACCAGGTTGATGGTGGTTGATCAGTTCTTTTTTGATAGAATTGATAGGTATCCTCTTGTGGAACTTTCTTATTTTCTAATGCGTCGACCTTTGTTGATAATTTCCTAATCATTGTTTTTAATTCTGATATTTCGCTGGAAGATGTTGAGTCGGGTGATTTCGCTGTGATATTCATGTTTGGTTTCTTTTTGTCTGTAGGGTGTTCTTTCTCAATAAGTCTGATTTCCTTTCTAAGTTCATCGAATGTTAAACATTTATCATAAAGATAATCTGATATGTCTTTGAAGTCCTGCCGTAATCCGGACCAGAATTTGGTCTTTAACATGTCATCAACATCTTGATGGTGAACTTTTCCTTTGTCGACCGCTCTACTCAAAAGTTCCTCAAGACGACATCCCCATGTTGTGGTGTTTTCTTCTGGTTTCTGAGTCGCACTATAAAATTGTGTCAACAAAGATTCACCTTTCTCTACGGTTCCATGGATGCTTTCCATTTTCTCCAAAACTTGATTTAATGTTGCATCCGGACCTAATCTCATTGGTATTTGACTCGCTTGACCTCTTAATGACCTTCTAATAGCCTGAAGGACTGCACTCTCAGGATATCCTTCACGTGAAAGACATTCAACCTCGTACTTCCACACTTCGTATGGCACATCACTTGATCTACTTGGATCTCCGGAGAATGTCGATAACTTTGGAATGTGAGTCGCCATTGAAGATTGAAATGATGGTGGTTTAAGGTCCTTATAACTTGTTGGAGTAATGGGTGCCGTAAATGTTGGTAAATAGAAAGGAGATGGACTGGGTATCTCTTTCTTCACAGTCTTATGCTGTTCAACAAAAGTTACATTTGGCGCCCACGTTGGGACCCGGGTGTTCTCTGGCGGGTGAAAGTGATTGCCCCCAGAACCTCGCCCCACAGGTGTCGGCACTCCAAAAGAGATGAGGACATCTCATTCTCTGGAGGGGGACAATGTGGTAGTGTAAGATACATGGCATCCTACTAGCTTGGGCTAGTGGGTTAACCCTTTAGCTCGATCGGTAGAGCACTGGACTGGCAAGCCAGAGGTCCCGGGTTCGATCCCCAGCAGAGGCAATAAATTGTCTCCGTTACATCTATCCAAAATTTATAGACATACCGTACGGAAATAATAAGATAACATCTATAAATTAATTTTTAGCTGTTTACATTCGATAAAAACTAGGTCGCTTCATTCTATGGCGGCCTATGCAGGTAAAAAAAATGGAATATTTCTGAAACATCATAGAACATATAGAAATTATTTGATTCTAAACTACAGGCTTGGGTTCATAAAAACAAAGTCAGATAAACAAAATAATAATTTTACATTTTTTGAACAATGAAATTAACAGTAATTATAATGTATTTTTTTTTTCTAAAATAATTTGTTTCAGGTAAGTCTTGTTGTCACAAAAATCACAAATGAACTTAAGGAGAGAGCAGGTTTTTAGAACCACTAGAATCGGATGGAGAAATCCATGCAAATCAGATTGAGAAAGTGGGAGGACTGGATTTGACTAATCCCAGGGAAGCCATCCAACACCACAAACCAGAACCCAATCCAGAACCCGCAGGGCAAGAGAAAGAGAGGACATCTAACAAACTATTATGAAGTTTTATTTGTTAAATAATTACTTTTTGTTCATAAAAAGCTTTTTTTAACAAAATTGCAATTATTACCTGAAATTATCACACAAATTTTGAATATTTGGCGAATAAAACACATACTTTGAAGCCTAAATGTCTTGATTTATTTTCATTAAATGCTAAAAAAAGAAATAGGGGGTGGGGGTATAAAAAATATCAAAACTTTCTTATATGTACACTAACCCCTACTTTTCATACTATGAAAAGGAACCATAATACCTAAAGAAACTGTACAACAATTTTCTCAAAAAGTTTAATTGTAGAAATATGTTTTTCTCTGTTTTTTTGAGCAATTTTATGGGGAAAAATTTACCTAAATTTGACACCGGTGAGCAACATTTTAAGGTACAAGTTATCTATTTGGTGTTTATTTGCTCATATTTTGCTTAAAAAATTCACTTTGCAATACTTTCAAGTAAATTTAAGCCAAATTAGGTTTAAATTGAGTGTATTTGTAACTTTATGAGGTATTTTTATGGTCTAATAGCTATTTTAATGAAATTTCCCATGCTCTATTTTGGCCTATGTTGGAGGGGTTGAATCTCTCTTGGATGAACACTAACATACACTTTTCTTGTATTTAAATTATTCCTTGGATATTACACTTTCAGAAAAGTATAAGCATGTGGAAAGTTTAATGCACGTTTTTTTCCGCGTATCAGCAGAATACATCCTTAAATGTTTTCCTGTATATGGATACTTTCCCTTGTGAATCTTCTTCAGATAATTAGTGGGCATTCTTTCCATTTTAAGAGGGTGCGTATATATGGGGAACAATGTTATTATTATAGATAGAACTTATCTAACTCTTACTTTAATAGGGTTAAGGTCCAGATCTCCTCACGACTCCTCATGATCCTTAAATTTTACACCTAATTGTGCAGGCATCGCACGCCTTTCCCTTAACCCTTTCTCTTCCGGCGCATTTTACGTGATTTTGGAGGCCTTTTGACATGGCATTATTAAATTATTTCTAACTTTTTTATCCAAGGAGAAAGCTAGGCATAATGCATACCATTTTGTAGGAAATTTCTTAGAGATGCTATTTTATGACTATTTAGATTCTCAACCACTGACCTTATTAGTAAAAATTGAGGTCAAAGGTCAATTAAGTGCAAAATTTTATGGAATTTTTTGATACTTTTTAATCTTTAAGCTAAATATTAAGTATGATGTATGTTGAAATAGGAAATTTGGTATATACCCAAAAAAGAGCATTATACTGTACTACATGAAACACATAAACTTTTTTTTTCAATTCTGCATATAACTACTTAAAAGGGGTTGCTAAGCAACGCAGAATTCTTTAATTTTCGGGCAGAAATTTTCATTTTTTACTCATCCTAGACACATTTATGCATCCCAGCACATATAAAAGTTAGATGTGAGGTCATAAAATTACAAGGGACATACAACAGATAAATTGTCTTAAAGTTTGACCTTATTAGAACTATTTTTAGGAGGTCAAAGGTCAAATAAGTGCAAAAGTTTCATCAATTTTTTTCAACACTTTTCAATATTCTTGCCATAATTTTACTCAATGGATGCTGAAATGGAAAATTCTGAATATACTCTCAAGAAGGGATCAGAACTGCAATATCCATGCATCATTATTCAAATATCTGTTTAATGACCTTTAAGTGGTTGCTAAGCAACATCATTTTAAAGTTTTTGGCTATATACATGTTTGTTATTTCACATTCTGGACACATTCTAGACACTTTTTGTATATTTCATGATATTGTTTGTAAGATATATATGGGCCATAAAGATGAAAGAACATTTTTGTATCAAAATTGACCTTGACACTCTTGTTCTTCAGGGGGTCAAGGTCATATCAGTACAGAATTCTGCTTTAAACTGTAAGTAAATATCAATTTTGAAATGCTTCAAACATGGATAAATCATCTAATAGTTGAAGTAATAAAAATGGCGAATGACAAAATTTGCAAGCAAAGAATTCTGGTCTGCTTCTTACAAACCCCTAGCAAAACATGTATACAATCTTTTTGTTGAACAAGAAATCCATTCTCTTGATGCCATTAGAAATAATCTTTATTTTCATGAATTTAATCTAACAAGAAAAAAAACTAAATGATTTCATTACAAGATTTTTCTGGTACAATAAAGACTTGACGTTATCTTGGAGGGAAATAATAATAATAGATAGCATTGGCAATATTTAACCCAAAACTGTTTAGTCAATTAGTTGAAAAATTGACGCTTATATCCAAATATACAAATCCAGAAATATTGCAAGATGAATTCCAAATCAGACTGAAATCTTCAACAAAATGTTGAAGAGCACTTTTACTTTGTGTCCACCATTCTTTTATCAACTGTCATTTCTCTGTAAGACTGGAGGAAATTCTTTGACTTGTCCAAGATATTATTATTTGCTGTCAAGTACAAGTGATCAGCTTCTATCCTGTAAAAGATTTAAATATTTTGAAACAGATACATGTCATTGTGTATATGAATTTACATTTATAAATAAAATTAAGAATGCTGAAATTACTACATTTATTTGATTTTCCTTTTAAAATTAAAATTGTATTTATTATGTGATTCAAAGTAGTCAATGTATTAGGACTGATAATTCAACAACCTTGTAGTAAACCATCATGGTAAAATTACTGAACTAAAACAAATAGCATTTATGGCAATCTGACTAAAGCCTCTGTTTACGCTATCGCAACATATAAAAAAATTTGGCAGTGGATGGAAGATTCAATTTTAATTAGATTGCTACAAAAGCCATGAAGGGACACGTCAATTTTTCAAAAAGTAAAAAATGAGATCTCAAATTAGACAATCCAATCCCACAGATTACTAAATCGTTCCCTCAAGTTATAATTCCAGATCTCGAATTACATAATTTGATCTTACAGATTTCTAATTCGCCCTCTTGATTCATAATTTGAGATCTCGAATTACATACTGGTAATTCGTTTTCACAGATTAATAATTCGAGATCTCAATTTGTTACAACGTCAGTTTCCTGATTTTCTCTGTGCTCTTGAATTTCATTACATATATGTACAGATACATCCAACCATTTTAATCAATTAGTGCGTTCTATTTATTTTGTTTCAGCAACCGGTCAATTCCAACCTCTTTCATAACTAATTCAATATATATTTTTTTTAAGAAATATTATGATTAATCTGAGATAACGGATTGTGTAATTTGAGGAAACGAATTGATAATCTGTGAGAATGAATTGGCATTTTGTTACAACAAGAGAACGGATTGTATAAATCGAGAACTCTGTTTACTTTTATAATTTTTAAAAAATTCTATGCCCCTTCATGGCTTTCATAGATTGCATACCTGCATGGCTGTCAGGGTTGTAAAAAGAAAGGAGACAATAGACTGCAATGTTACTTCAGGGCAAAATTCCTGGGGCAAGGCTGTTCGTGAGCATGGGAGTGTTGATAAACCATCCAGTGAGTTTGATTACCCATGTATATGATGTACGATAATTGGAAAGTGTCTGAAAAATTGAAAAAATGGAAATTCTAATCACATACTTTATGCAGATTGCAAATAAAACAGCAGTCTATAAAAACAGCTTGTTCCATATCTCGGCATTTATTCAAATAGATATTACATGTTTAAATAATGTGTCTGATGAATAATCAAGCATCATAAGTATTATGTGTTTCAAACACTTATTTTTCAAAATGCAAATCAAATGTTTTTAAACTTGTATGAATGCAATATCATGAGAATGACATAAATGAAATTAGACTTTATTTTTTGAAATTTTAGAAATACAGAAATTTTCAATACCAAAAAAAAAATTTACCTGTTCATTGGTGTCCTTCCATATTAATTGACCTTCTTAGTTCATGGTGGGCTTAGAAAGTGGGTATTCACAGATGAAAGTATTGTTGCATATGGTGAAAGCACCCTAAAAATTCAATGTGAAAGTGGTACATATACACACTAGTACACACATACTGAAAACAACTATCCATTATTATGACAACTTTGATTTTACTTTGAACTTACGAGTGATTGTCAAAAGCATCAAAGTTCAAAAGCAACACAAAATTGGCTGAACAATACGAAATACGCACACTGAAATATGAAGATCTAGCACATGTATGTGTACATTTAGTTTTCTATGGAACGCCAACACTGCCTTATAGCATACAACTATGCATTTATTACGTCAATTTATCATTATGTGATGTGAACATATCTTTACGTTATGTCAATTTTTTATGAGATTATGTAAAAATATCTTTACATTATGTCAATGCTGCATTACATGAAGTAAATACATCCTTTCATTATGTCAGCACTTCATAACTTGAAGTCAAAAATTCATTATGTGAAGTGATAATATGTTTACATTGTGTTAAAACTTTATTACGTGAAATGAATGTTTCTTTACATCATTTCATTTCTTTAATATGTGAGGTCAAAATTGCATTACGTCAAGTGAATTGTGTTTTATAATTAAACTTATCATTACATGAAGTCAAAAGCCCATTCCTTTTTGAGAGTGTATATTTCTATTATATCAAAGCATTATTACATGATATGGGTTTATCTTTATTTTACGGCGAGAGCATCATGATGTGAGGTGAACACATCTTACCTTTATGTCAGTGCTTTATTACGTGGTGTAAAAAGTGTATGACATTATGTGAACATATCTTTATGTTATATCAACACTTTATCACATTATGTCGAAACTCGTTATGTCAACTCTTTCTTATGTGATCTTAAAATATCTTTATATTGCGTTAACTCTTTATCATGTTGATTCCAAAAGTGCATTACCTGATGTAAAAATACATTTACATTATCTCAAAGCTGTATATCTGGTATAAAATGAATGTTGACGACCGTGTTTTATGACTGGTAAGAGGGGGGGGGGTCCGGATTGATTAGGAAGAATTACAGGCACAAAATATCAGCCCCCCCCCCCCCTCTTTCCCCAGACACAACTTTACAATAGAAAATGTAATGTTCATTGAAAGTACAGCCCCCACCCCCACTTTTTGTTGAAGTATAGTCCACCGAGGGTAATGTAGTATATCTGACAAAAAAATTAGGACTGATCGAAGTTGGACCCCCTCCCCGAAATAGGATTTTCGGGCTTGGAGTGGACAATTTTTTTTTTTTGGCTTCTCAATTTTTTTGGGGGGGCGAACATTTTTTTCTGGCTGACCCCCCCCCCCCTTTCGAAAAAGACGATACGTAATTGGAATTAGTAATTTTTTCAACCATTCCAGGGCCAGAGTTCTATTACAAAAATCTACCAATCCCTCATCTAAATCAATTGAATATGCCTTAGTAAGCATGCATGGACACATATCAGTAACGGATATGAGAATCTTGAACCAAAAAAATGTCCAAGCCTGAAGGGGGACGGTTTATGGTTGGAGACCAAGGGGAAAGCGGAGAAGCTCTCAGGCTTTATAGTTTTATAAAAAAGTTTTCAACTTAATTCAGCTAAACTTAATGTGAAACTAATGCAATGTCCTACAAAGTAAAACTAATAAATTTATTAATTTTATGTACATGTAGATTTTGGTCACTAAGTAGGGCGGGATTTCTCCCTCCCCCCAACCCACCAGTGCACGAGTGTTATACGATGTGTTTACACTTTAAAACAAAAGGAAAATTCAAGACTGATAAAAAAAACTTATTACAATGTTCTTAGTAAGATCAGAAGTTAAGACTTTTAGCCAAAAAAAAAAAAACAACAAACAAACAAACAATTCAAAATAAAAAAAAAAAAAATTGCTGCACGACTCATTTGATTTATTTAATTATCAGATTAAAGTAAACGCCATTGAATTTCGACGTGACTTTTCACAGTCGCAGTGTTCAGGCTTTGCATGTTTCAAGATTGTCAATCCTTTGTTGCTTAAAATTTTTATTTAAAGATGCCATTCCCAAATCGCCGAGATTTCTTCTACGACAATTTTCTCTCCCGCCAATTTAGTGCTTGCGGAACGCGGAAAATACGTTATGCTCATATAAAGGCTGAGGATACCCGTGTTCGCATAACGTAATAGTGAATCGACATAATGTACTTAGTGTGAGTTAATATCATAAAGAATTGACATAATGTAATGATAGGTTAACACAATGTAATTGTTGTTTAATTAAATGTCATGAACAGTAAACATAACGAAATGCAAGAATGTGTAAATGTCATAAAGTGTTGACACAATGAAAAGGAAGGTTTACACGATGCAATAGTAGTGTGGGATAATATCATAAAGAATTGACACAATATAATGGAAGGTTGACACAATGCAGTAGTAGTATGGGTTAATGTCATAAAGAGTTGACATAATATAATGGAAGGTTGACACAACGCAATAGTAGTGTGAGTAAATGTCATAAAGAGTTGACATAATGTAATGAAAGGTTGAAACAAAAAAATAATAGTGGGAGTAAATGTCATGAAGAGTTGACATAATGAAACCGAAGGTTGACACAATGTAATAGTAGTGTGAGTAACTGTCATATGGAGTTGACGTTATGTAAAGGAAAGTTCACACAATGCAATAGTAGTGTGAGTAAATGTCATAAAGAGTTGACATAACGTAAAGGAAAGTTCACACAATGCTATAGTAGTATGAGTTAATATCATGTAGAGTTGACATAATGTAATAGAAGGTTGACACAATGTAATAGTTGTGTGAGTAAATGTCATAAAGAGTTGACATAATGTAATGGAAGGTTGACGCAGTGCAGTTGTTGTGTTCTGCTATAAGGCAGTGACGGCGTTCCATAGTTTTCTTTTGAACGTGAACTAATTGCGTTTTAAACTTAAACTATTTAGTCAATATACACTTATTCTCACCTGCTAATACCAAAGGCATGTCCGTATTATTTGATTCATTGATGTGATGATCTTCGTCGTGAAATAATCATGAAAATTGACGTTCAGATTTCGGATCGCCATCATGTTGTTTACAGATTCCATAGCGGAAACACGTGGTTATTTCAATTCGAATCAACTCATACAGTGATGAGTCGTATTTATTTATAAATGCGAGTTTTTGTATTGTTAAATTTCGTGCCAATATAGATCTAATTAAATTGCAAATTAAGAATACAGTATAACAAGATACAACAATATTAAAAATCTGATTTTTTTTTTAAAGTAAAGATCGACGTTTAGGGCATCTACAATTTTTATCAACTTTGTATATCACTACATGAAATATACATCATTACATGTAGATGAATAAATTAACATTTCACTTCACACAAAAGGCAGAACGATATTATATATTTGTTTTTTAAAATCTATTTTTTTTCTATTATGCATTTTTTTCATTAGAAAATATATTTAAATGGTCAAAAAAGTCATAAAACAATTTATTGTTTCGAGTAAGACGCAACAATATCTACCTTGACGTTACTATACAGTTATTGACTGGGTATGAGGGCAACATATGATTTGTTGGACCTGAAGGTGAAAATGTTGCCCGAGGCCGCAGGCCAAGGGCAACATTTTCATCTTCAGGTCCAACAAATCATATGTTGCCCGAATCCCAGTCTATAACTGTTTTGTTATACCCTTCACTGCTCACTTAAGATTGATCAATTTTATCAATACACGCTTTACTATCAATTATTTTATATGGAAAATTATGGCTTCTTCAGTAAATATAAAACATCAAGCTGAGAAAGAACAAAATCAATTATAAATGTAAATATTGACCGATTTTTCCATAAAAACTATGCGAAGGTCACAAAGTCAAATTATCGTAATTAAGAAAATACTGAGCGTAAGAAGGCCTGTAAGGGCTTGTTGGAAAGAAAATTTTCTCTACTTTTACCAGCTTTATTTTGTTTTCCCTATTTCAACACAGAAATAAACGTAAAACTGAACTTTGTTTAAACATTACGAATAAAATCGAGAAAAAACACACAAGTGCAAGAAAATTCTTGTTTTTAAAATATTCTTTAAAATAATAACAATAATTTTTACATATTTTAAAAGCAGAGAAAATATGCTTTAAGAAAATACCATACATTCTTTATAAAGTTAATCAGCAAAAAAATGTCAATCGTCTAGAAAATCGGCAATTGCTTTGGAAAATTACGCCATTTTCAAAAAGTCACGTTTGTCTTCACAACGTAAAATCGATTAAATACCGGCAATCAAGACATAATCTTTTTAGATATTTTAAAAGTAGAGAAAATTTCCAAAAAGATGATATATAGTTTATATACCTTCATGCTACCATAAAATAGATACGGAGATCTTATTTTCGCGAAGTCGTGTTTTAACGCGCCATCGGTCAATTTGACCGGTACGGAAGTGAAGGGGTTAACATTATATAAGGAAATCAATGTTTTATGTAAAATATAGTTTGACAACACATATCAATCTAACCACTATATGTTGATATTAGAAATTTATTATAACATGTATAAGTAGATATATGTTTTAAAGGTTTTCAACTGCACTGTGCGTCCTCCTTCCACTTGGTGCCTCGAGGGAACGGAAATGATGAGGATACAAATAAAAGCCCAAACCAATGTGACATCCACGGAGAACGTCAAATTCCGGATGACCGTTTTTGGAAAATTATTGACTAACTGTAAGTTCCAATAGTCCTAACAATCCTAATTTAAAATTGATATTATCACAAACTGTCAAAATGTTACAAAAAATAAACGGTTCTAATATATGTTTTTGGAGATTTCGTCAGCTCTGTAGTCTATGCTTATCAATATGACCTGTTATGAACGATTATCTCAATATAAGTCTTTCAAAGTGCGATATGATTTCTCTTTAAATTTATATGGAGACTAGGCTTTACCCTAATTCAGTTTGAAACATGTAGTCTAAACATCTACATGTACTCGTATTTTGATATTATTTGATTGGGTATCATTTAATTTTACAGACGTACTCATCCTCTCTGGGTCAATTGGAGGCAGTGTAGGCGGACTGATTGTAATATACACTGCTGTTAAACTGTTTCTATACATAAGAAAGAATACAAGATACTAGATGGTTTTCATTTAGTCTACATTTGAATGATCAAGTAATTTTACAATAGACTATAAATCATAGAAATAATGTGTTCTTTGTTGAACGCTTAGATTTCTTCAATCAACTTTTATTTTCTAATGTTATTAATATTAACGATTTAATATATATGAATGGTAAATGTCAAGAAAGAATAAACAAGAATGTAGAAAATGTACAGTAAAGATAATTTTTCTTTACAACATGTTGCACTTTAAAATTTATGTGAGACATACAACATATGGTCCAATAAAACTAAAAACTTCACACTTTGATTTTGTTGGTCTTATTTAAAAAGACAATTTGCATGAATAATTCAATAGTCGTTTTAAAGATGCAGGTATCAATTTTCATTCCTTTTTCACTCAAAATAACATACCTGTTTTTTTAAGTCCTGAAATCAAAGCATTCATTTTATATTTATATTATTCTTTAAAATAAGCAATTTGTACATAGTTTTGCAGATGAAATTTTAGAGACTAAAAATAAATAAAAATGAATCATAAGAATGATATTGATATTGATATTATACATTTCAGAAAGATAAGAGTTCTATTGTGTGATAAGATGACCTAGACAAGGTCAATTCCACAGTTCTCTCAAAAGATAACATATCCCGCTCCGTTTTTCAATACATTTCCCATACTGCTAGAATCCTGATATGAAATACATATACGAAGCCCTACTGTGTTCCCTGCTCTCCTTGGGAATCCTTGGGATTTCATTGGGAGAAAATAACCACAGAAATGTGGTATCTAGAGAGGAGTTTGAAGATCTGAAGAGGCTAGTTCAAATTTTATATGAAAAGGTTGAAGTCCAACAGAAAGAAATAAATGATCTAAAACGCGATGTTAAGGAAAAGGATGAACTTATTGAAAAGATCGCAACCCTCTCAATAGAACAACTGGTGAATAGAGATATAAGGAGTGTTCGGGAACCCAGCGTGGTAAAGAAGAACGGTCTTGAAGAACATTCATCCGTCGATATTAACAGAAAATGTATGTAGAATATAGAATTTTTTTCTATTTATATAGGAAATATAAAGATATCGTTTTAAATTTTTTAGTGCAAATATTGGTACAATGTATTTCATACTATCAAATGCCGTATGGCTTTACGATACATATGATCACAAAGAAACACTTACCTGTATTTGCATCCCCATCAATGTTTTAAAATGATACATTATCATTTTTTATCAATATGAGAGACGGATTTTCCTAAAAAGTGTTTCCTAATATTTTCTACCCAAAATAATCTAGGAAAAAGAATAATGCAGTACATGTATACGATAGTGATTTTTATTCAGAGTTATTAATTAATTCTAGGTGTTCAATGAACAATTACATATTTCTCCTAAGTACCCTCAAAGTTATAACAAATAATTTATTTAATGAATTCAAAACAAGACAGTCTCCCGCGGAGCGCAGTGGTTAGAGTGTCTGTTCTAGAGTCTCGATGTAAATGGTTGATACTTACGTCGCGGGTTCGACCTCCAAGATGAGACGTGCAAACCAGTTTGGGATGACACCGTATGAGCCGAAGTCCCGTGTCGCAGTACACTGTAGGTACTGGCACGAAAAAGAAACCATCCCTTATCAATTACCCAAAGTACCGAGTCTAGGTCAAAATTTGCAGCTCTCCTCTGGCAAGTGGTGGCGTCTCCATATACTAGTGTTAGAGTGAAAATTCTCGAGTGAGGGACGTTACGTGTAAACAATATATAATTCATGAATCAATCAAAGCAAAGTAATAGGAGGCATTTGATATATCATTAGAAATGTACAAAATGTGAAACACATAATTATTTTGAATTTATTTCAAGAACAGAAAAAAAATAATTTGCCCCCTTTCCTCATTTAAACAACGGTTTAATTAAATACTGCATAGCAGAAACGATAGCATGGATATGACAAACATGTAAAGTTTTTGTTCAGAAAGATTGCCAAGAACCTAACAAAGTCTCCGATTTGAACAACATAATAACATAATTAGTGAATCAAATACTAGGAACTCGTAGACAGACTGCTGGATATGTCCTTCAACGCTCTGTCATTATATACTTACATCGATCACTTTACTTTTACAGATAGTAGAATAGTCCCAGCCCCTACAGAATCTGTAGTTGCCTTCTACGCCTACATGTCAGGAAACGAAAATAGTCCGAGCGTCCATCATACACTAATATATGATCATGAAGTGACCAATATTGGACACGGATACAGCAAACATTCCGGAATCTTCACTGCCCCTGTGGATGGAGTGTATGTGTTTGCATGGAACACATTCACAGTAACTTCCGGTCAGTATATGTCTATTGAAATCACTCTCAACAGCCAACCAGTCGGAGCAACGTTTCCTGAAGGTGGAGGAGATTACGCAGGAGTAACAGGAATAGTTGTACTGTCGGTTCAAAGGAATGACGTCATATATACACGCACTCATACAACTTACGTTCCAGTCGGCTCTATCAGAAGCGATAATTTGATGAGGTCGACTTTTTCAGGATGGTGCTTGTCTTGCCATTAAACGAAAAAAATTAAATGAAAATAAAAAGTATGAATATATATTTGTAACATTCATTATCATTTAACAAGTTGAAGGAAGAATCCATTGGACGCAATTAAAGCAAATAAATATAAAATTTGAGACAGGCTACAAGGTGTATAGTTCACAATAGGATGCATTCCCGGATTATTTCTTGAAATTTGAAAGATTCGGTTAGATTTGCGTTTTTAAACCTTTAAAACTTCTTATATTTTGTTTCATTCTGTGCACATCCGTTTGATTAAGAATGGAAAATAAATCTAAATGTGTTATCTGTGCTATTTCGTATTAAGCGCACATTATCTTAAGTTTGAACTTGTTCTATTTTGTGCCAATCAAGACATCAGCGAAACTCTAGCTGACTGCCATAGCAGCTTCTGCTTCCAAAGTATCATCTGTAGTGAAATAGGTCTTCCAATACTTTCAGATAGTTTAGTTTGACACGATCACTTACAACGGTTTTTAATTAAAACGCAACAAGAAAAAATGTCAACGTCCTATCTGCGCATTCTGCAGACTATTTTTGTAACAATTCTAAACAAGAGGCCCATGGGCCACATCGCTCACCTGTGCACTGTGGCTAATTGAGGGGATTGTGATTTGTACATACTTGAATACTTGAATCTATGCTAACAAAGTTGCCTGCATAATTCTTTTACTAAATATTGTTTTTTTCTTTTTATTCTCTAAGTCTGTAACCGCCCCCGACCGTGACGACTGGAACTAAAATGATCTACACTGCCTGAGAATGCTTCAATACTAATAGGATTAATCATGGCTTTGCTGTGTCTGTGAAAAAAAAAAATCCCTGTATATTTCTATGTAAAACTTTGATCATCCTTTGTGTCCCCGCCCTACCCCCGGGGGTCATGATTTGAACAAACTTGAATCTACACTATCTGAGGATGCTTTTATATAAATATGACCAATCATGGCTTGTCTGTTGCTGAGAAGAAGATTTTTAAAGATTTTTCCTATACATTTCTATGTAAAACTTTGATCGTCCCTTGCGGTCCCGCCCTACCCCCGGGGGTCATGATTTGAACAAACTTGAATCTACACTACCTGAGGCTGCTTGCATACAAGTATGACAAATCATGGCTTGTCTGAGAAGAAGATTTTTAAAGATTTTTCCTATATATTTCTATGTGAACCTTTGATCATCCCTTGCGGTCCCGCCCTACCCCCGGGGGTCATGATTTGAACAAACTTGAATCTAAACTACATGATGATGCTTTCATATAGATATGACCAATCATGGCTTTGCTGTTCTTGATCAGAAGAAGATTTTTAAAGATTTTTCCTATATATTTCTATGTAAAACTTTGATCATCCCTTGTGGCCCCACCCTACCCCCGGGGGTCATGATTTGAACAAACTTGAATCTACACTACCTGAGGATGCTTCCATATGAGTTTCATCTTTCCTGGCCCTGTGGTTCGTGAGAAGATTTTTAAAAGATGCCATTAATTTTTCATTAAATCATAATTATCTCCCCTTGGAAGAGGGCTTGGCCCTTCATTTGAACAAACTTGAATCCCCTTTACCCAAGGATACTTTGTGGCAAGTTTGGTTGAAATTAGCCCAGTGGTTCTTGAGAAGAAGATGAAAATGTGAAAAGTTTACGACGACGACGACAACGACTACAACAACGACAGACAACGGACAAATTTTTATCAGAAAAGCTCACTTGAGCCTTCGGCTCAAGTGAGCGAAAAGGGATATGTATCGATATATAGCAATAAAACTGTAGCGAGTTATCATAATAATCTAAAAATACTTCAATTTAGGAGAATAATTTTCTGTCATTATATTTGTAACTAACCAACGAATCTTTGTATAATGATATTTAGAGTTTATTTTACACGAATCCTTCAAAATTCTAACAATAATCCTGTTTTTAAATTTGAATCTCTATTTTAGAAATTACTCTTTAACAATCTATCATATGCATTTTACGATAAAAGAATTTGTACAAAATTGATCGCTTTGAAGTCAATGAATAATTTTCATCACACTTTTTTCTAAAAATATCCTATAAAAAGGGATAAATACTCGTATGCCATAATTGGATTTTTTTTATTTTAGTGTAAAAGTCATGTTCTTATTAAATATATATGGAAAAGAATATTTCTTCAAATTAAAAAATGAAACCTATGCTCTATCATACTGACACAGTTTATATACTATTTGCTTGATGGAAAACACCTCAGCCCCAAGAAAAACAGCTGAATTTTCTTGACGAATGCAATATTTTCTACTTGCAAAATATAGTCAATCTTGGAAATCGGATGGGTTCATAAGAATATCCTTTTCCAGAAATAGAGTGGAGTACATCACAGCCTGATTTTCCTGTCTTAAGAACGCTTATCCAATAGCAGTATACGTAGAATGGACACCTTGTTTTAATCATATTTGATATGCTCAAGGCCAAAAGTTAACGATTTTTTAGGGATTTCCTAATATACTATTGTCAATGTATTCAACTATTTTTTCTATCTGTAACTTAGCGATATTTCACAATAGATTGCTCAGCCAAAGACACATATCTCTCTTCTCCAGCTTGCTCTCAATGGACAACAGAACAAACCGTATTTTAACCTTCTCCATTGTTTCACTAAAACAATCCATCCAATTAATGATAAAACTTATGGAAAGCCCTTTGTCATCATTAAATTTTCATAAATTATTATATTCAAAGGATTTCCAACTGATACGTTAAACTTTACAGTCTTAAAGGCTGTGTCAACAATTTTTTTGTCACAAATCGCCTACATATAGAAGTAACTTTCACATTGTGACGTCACAATCATGACGCAAAACATACTTTATTATGTGCTATTTATGGAACTTCTGTATGACTATATATGTATCGAATTTCATTCTGATCTTAATTGTGGCTATGTTTATGTAGCTATTGTTCTCAAACTTCCTGATAACCTCTCGTACATTTCTACTTCTTTAAAATCATCTATCATTTTTAGCCCCTCTGAGCAGAAAGCTCCAGTGAGCTATTCTGATTTCATTTGTCTAAAGTCCATCTGTCCAACCGTCTTACTGTCCGTCCGCCTGTAAACTTTTCACATTTTTACTTCTCTTCAAAAACCACCGGGCAATTTCAACCAAACTTGCAAAAAATATACTTGTGTAAAAGGATTCAATTTTTTTTTAATTAAGGACCATGCCCTCATTCAAGTTGAGATAATTAAAAAATATTGAATATTTGGTGCCATTGTTTAAAGATATTCTTCCCAAGAACCACTAGGTAGGGAAAGATAATCTAACGTAGAAGCTTCCTCGGGAAGTGTAGATTCAAGTTTGTTCAAATCGTGACCTCGGGGGTATGTTGGGGCCACAATGGACGATCAATATTTTACATAGGAATATTTAAGAAAAATATTTGAAAAATCTTCTCAAGAACAGCAAAACCATAAGTGATTAGTGGTTATATTGATATGGAAGTATCCTCAGGTAGTGTATATTCAAAGTTCTATGAATCATGACCCACGTGTGTAGGGTGGGACCATAATGTAACATTAAATTTAACTTAAAAATAAATAGAAAAAAATTAAAAAATCATCTGATGAAGAGCATCAAAGACATGGTTGATCATATCTATCCTCAGGTAGTGTAGATTCAAGTTTTTTTAAATCATAACCCCGGGGATAGGTTAGGGCAAAATTAAAATTTCAAACTTATAGGGAAAAAAACCACTGCAAGTCAAAGAAATACGTAAGCATTCTTAGTAGACTCCACTTAAGTCATATCATTCCCTTCTGTCTTTAATGGGTAGGTTGGGACCACATGTATTGAAGCTTTTAAAAACTGTATTGAGTTTTGCATTTTCCCAGCCACAGTGCTCAGGTCTGTGGTGTTGCCAATGGGCCAATTGTTTATTGCTTTGCAATGGATAGAAACATTTTTTTTTAATTTACTAAATAACAATAACAATACTAAATAATAAGTTTTCAAAAGTCCTGTGCATCAGGTAGAAAATACTTCTGAATAATATGTTTAACCATATCAAAGCATTAAATATATTTAACTATCTAAGGTCTATCGTAAATATGACCCAGTTTTACATGAAATCCTCAAAAGATAAGAAAGCACGCCATTATTTCCATTCTTTTCCGTACCACACGGATTATCATGGGATATAAAAACTCCGTGATATTTTCCATCCTCTTGTTGGGTATCCTTGGAATATCATCGGGAGAAAATATTCAGAGGAATGTGGTATCTCGGGAGGAGTTTGAGGATTTGAAAAAGCTTGTTCAATTTTTAAATGAGAAGGTTGAAGACCAAGAACAGAGACTGGCAGAACAAGATATTGAAATTAACACTCTAAAACGTGATGTTCAGAAAAAGGATGAATTCATAAGAAAGATGTCAATCATTTCAAAAGAAAAATCTGCGAGTAAAGAAGAAATTGATTTACGGGGACACAACATAGCAAAGAGGAGCGATAGTGAAATTAGTCTACCTGGCAACTTTAAGCGAAAATGTACGTAATAACAAAAATATTTCCCTCATTTTTTGAAAAAAAAAAATTAATTGCATGTATGGCTTCTTAGAAATTGGTCATGTTTCTCTAGCATACAAGTATATAATTTACTATAATGTAAAAGTCTGATTTTACTACTATATAAGCAATTCCATTCATTTGCAAAATGAAATGGACAGATAACATACATTAATATAATATAAATTCATAAAATTTGACCTCCTTACGAACAGCGTAATGGGCTGTCAGAAGGTCCACAAACCTTACAATGTGCTAGATCATGATAAATAAATAAGTGTATCAAATAATTTTAAATCATTTACAGACATATATCAGTGTGTATATTTTTTACAGTACACAGAATAGTCCCAGCTCCTACAGAATCTGTGGTGGCCTTCTACGCCTACATGTCAGCAAACGAAATCAACCCAGGCGCCCATCATACACTCATATATGACCATGAAGTGACCAATATTGGAAACGGATACAGCAAACATTCCGGAACATTTACTGCTCCTGTGGGTGGAGTGTACGTCTTTACATGGAACACATTTACAGTAGCTAATTCCGGTCAGTATATGTCTATTGAAATCACACAGAACAGCCAACCAGTTGGGGCGACATTCGTACAAGGTGGAGGTGACTACGCAGGAGTAACGGGAACAGTTGTACTCTCTGTCCAAAAGAATGACGTCATTTATACGAGAACTCATTCAACGTATGCCCCCCATGGATCTATTAGAAGCGACAACTTAATGAGGTCCACCTTCTCTGGATGGTGTCTATCATGTCATTAAAACAATGAAAATAAATTGAATATACACAAAAGGAATTAAAAGATACTTTCTTAAAAATATATATTTTTTATCTTGAGACTTTTTATATGTTTAATTGTGGTAAATTCGGAGCCTAAATACAAGCAATCGACATGCAACTTTTAATGTCAACATGAAAAATACAGTGTATATTGAAACTAGGGATGTTCAATCGGTCAAGTTTTAATACTCGGTTACTCGGACGTTTTTCCGATCGAGTACCTGGGTACTCGGTAAAAGTCTAAATAAATATGAACATGTAAATTAATAACTGTAAAATATTGTAAACTCTTGTAGAAATAAAACCACATGGTCTGATGGGAGGTTTACCTGTAAATGTGTTGTAACAATTATGACCACTGTGTGCCCAACGAAATTTAATCTAACATTTCTTTTAAAGTTCAATTTATTTATCAAATAAATACGAGAAATAAAATCATAAATGGTTCACAGTGGTTTTGTTAAAAAAATTCTGTTTCTTAATTGTAATGTTACTCTTTGATGGGTTTGACGTCCACGTGATAAGTCGTCAGAGCTACATGTACAGCATCAACTTGATCAAGTTTTCCTATGACAGAGCGGATTAACGATCTCCGTACACTTTTCGATCCTAGTTGGTGCAACGATGGATATAAGATTTTTAAAGCCTTTGCATTCAGCCATTTGCAGTAATTGGCACGTAATCAAACGGATCCATATTAACAATCGCACGTGCAATATCGTCTGTCTCTTTCCCCGAGAATTTAGGCTTCTTGAGGACCAAATTATCTAATTTATTTAAACATAATAGACCTTAAACGATGTTCAATGAAAAAAATACTTAGAGCAAACTAAACACTAGATGCTGTCATGAGACAGTAATACCCGCACTATGGTGTTTGTCTCTAAATACACACTCCTTCATATTGGACTTTCCAAGGAAGAAGTCAAAATAATTCTATAATTATCACCGTACATGTATTCGTCAAATTGAACATAAAATTTTCAGGTGACCATATGATCTATGAGCATCACATATGTATTTTGAATACTTAATTCATTACCAGTCTGAAATAACAGAATTTAATTAATGATTAAAGTAAATTACTTAATTAGATTCAGATTTTGCCCATAATTTGGAACTTTTTAAATTTAAAGCGTTTTTGATGAATTTATCAAAATGTGCAAACTGATTTTAGTACTTGGTCGGGAAAAAAACCCATTGAAAATACAACCCGATTAATTTGTCAATGCCTCTCTCTCTCTCTCTCTCTCTCTCTCTCTCTCTCTCTCTCTCTCTCTCTCTCTCTCTCTCTCTCTCTCTCTCCCCCCCCACACACACACACACTCTCACTCTCACATTTTTTAAAAATAGACCTAGATGCCAAAGTTATGTTAAAACATAGTTTATTATGATAGTTTGAAATTTGTTCTTGTACTAAACAGTTTTACGTGTGAACATCTTATTTTCTACATTCACATTGGGTTTGCGTCACCCATTATCATATTTATATATATCACCTCTCGGCACACCTCGGCCGATTCATACTGGCAACGGAATCATCAAAGGTTTGTCGAATGAGATTATGTAGCACATGTATGCTGACGATGCAGTGACTGTGTGGTCAGTTAATTCATTTGTGTTTTAATTGGATTATATGGATTATATTTCATGAATTTGTTGTCACGACCTATGACATTCGGTAAGTACAAGATTTAGTATAGATTGCATAAAAATAAATAAATGCAAATGGTTAGGTTGAAGTTCAAAAAGGGTCAAAGATCATCGCATGCCACAGTCGACAAATTTCACATTGTCAAGTTATCTCCCGTTGCGGACATTCAGTATATACAGGCGCAGATCCAGAATTTTTTTTTCAGGAAGGGGAGGGGGAGGTGTCACACCTCAGTCAAAAAAATCAGCCCAAGATTTCCTGAGAAGCAAATAAAAAATAATAATAAAAACAATGATAGTGGAGTCCCTGTTTTCTAAGGGGGAGGACGTCCAAAGTCATTTTTATTCTCTACAGTACATAGTCTTATTTAAATAACTGCTAATTCCAGGGGGGGGGGGGTCTGATCTCCCTAGCCACTGACTCCCTGTAGCTGAAATGACAATTGATCTTATGACTCCATAATAGTAGAAAATTTTTTCATTTGACTATAAATACATATTTTGTTTCCTATGTTTATGTATGTTTGTCTGTCCACAGAAACTTTAACCTTGCCCATAAGTTTTAAGTGGATTGGGCTATACACATGGCTTCAATATTTCATAGGTAAATTTCTTTTGGCAAAACCTTTTAATGGGTACCACCAATTTTGACCTCTTGATCTCTTGACCTTGGAGTTTGACCCACTTTTACAAGAAAAATACCTTAAACTTGGCCTAAGTTTTGAACAGGTGGTGCTAGGACTTTCATGCTCTAACATGTGTAATCATTGTGAACTTTCAACAGGTATAATTATTCTTGACCTAGACCTTAGAGTTGAACCCAATTTAACTTTAACCTTGGCAATAACTTTTGAACAGGTGAGGAAGTTCTATGGATTTCTCTCTTTTTTCACATGTGTATTCCTTGTGGCAAGACTTTGATACCAACAATTTTGACCCTTTGACCTTGACCTTGGAGTTTGACTTACATTTGAGAAACTTCAACCTTTGCCAAAAGCTGCCATAACAGTTGCTGTCACAACAAACAAACAAATTACTAAAAAAAACACAGTATACATGTACACATTTTATATTCAACAGATATACATCTGGTCATATCTCTAGTTCTCCCTTGAATGAGACATGGTGATATAAATTTTAAAAAAATAATTATGATAAGAGTTGAAAAGGTTGTGCATATTAAAATATACTAAGCTCTGCGGATGAATCAGATATACCAGTTTAGCTTTATTTTGCTACCCAAAGCACCTTGATTAACTATTTATAAGCATACTGTTTTCTTAAATGTACTGATTTCTGTTGTCCATCTGTTTGTCTGCAAACTTTTCACATTAACTTCTTAAGAACCACTGGGCCACTTTCAACCAATTTACATTTAAATATGCAGGGGACTTTTTCCAACATAAATCTTCTCAAGAACAGCAAAGACATTTATTGTCCCCCATTTTCGCTAAAGGTAGGGTACATTAAATCTCATTTGTTTGTCAATCTGCCCATCTGTCACAATAAATTTAACCTTGGTCATCATGGTCGTATATTTTGAATGAGAAGAGACAGGACTTTTATATTAAACATGTGTATTAGTATTAAATGGGACAATACCATTCTAAATACACTATGATTTTTATTACCCATGACCTTGATGTTTGACCTAATTTCATAAACAAATTAATTGCTTTAAATTGATCATTTTGAAAGATAAATGAAAGGGCATTCATATTACCTGTGATAAGACCTTTCCAAATGTATCATGACTTTTTGACTCTGTGACCTTGACCTTGAAGTTTAACTTAGTTTTCATTAATGTTGTATTTCCTTTTCATTGAGAAGAGATTCGACTTTCATATTTCAAGTGAACAATACCCATAACAAGATGTTTCCCAACATGCTATGATTTTTTACCCCTTGACCTTGATGTTTTAACAAAATTTCAAAAGAGTGAACTCTCCCAAAACAGGATAAGACCACTGTTTAAAACAAAAAAGGAGTTTAGAGAAGACTGGGCTTTTTCCATAAAAAACGTCATTTTTCGACCCCCATTTGACCCCCCGGGGCAAAATCAAAATTCCGAAACCTAACTGCACATCTACATGACACCACCAACCATCTCCCAAAAGATGATTAGGCTCCTGAGTAAAATGTAAGAGGAGTTCAGGGAAGACGGGGCTTTTTGCATAAAAACATCATTTTTCGACCCCCATTTGACCCCCCGGGGCAAAATCAAAATTCCAAAACCTTACTGCACATCTACATGACCCCACCAACCATCTTCCAAAAGATGATTAGGCTGCTGAATAAAATGTAAGAGGAGTTCAGGGAAGACGGAGCTTTTTGCTTAAAAAACGTCATTTTTCGACCCCCATTTGACCCCCCGGGGCAAAATCAAAATTCCAAAACCTTACTGCACATCTACATGACCCCACCAACTATCTCCCAAAAGCTGGTTAGGCTGCTGAGTAAAATGTAGAAGGAGTTCAGGGAAGACGGGGCTTTTTGCATAAAAAACGTCATTTTTCGACCCCCATTTGACCCCCCAGGGCAAAATCAAAATTCTAAAACCTTGCTGCACATCTACATGACACCACCAACCATCTCCCAAAAGACGATTAGGCTGCTGAGTAAAATGTAGAAGGAGTTCAGGGAAGACGGGGCTTTTTGCATAAAAAACGTCATTTTTCGACCCCCATTTGAACCCCCGGGGCAAAATCAAAATTCCGAAACCTTACTGCACATCTACATGACACCACCAACCATCTCCCAAAAGATGATTAAGCTACTGTGTAAAATGTAAGAGGAGTTCAGGGAAGAAAAGTGTGACAGACGGACATGAGTAACAACAATATACCCGAACTTTCTTTAGAAAGTGCGGGTATAATAAGGGTAGAAGACAGCCGAAGGTGAGAAAAGCCAGGTAGGTAGCAGGTGCCCGGTTAAGGTAATTACTGTATAAGCACTGCCACGGGCGATAACGGTCATTTAGCGGCGCAGAAAACCCTAATTACTGTAGGTACAAGTGCCTGAACATTTTACGTTTTAAAACCAATTTTTTAATGCATTAATAAATAAGCTTAGAAATATTAAAAAGTTTTCATCCGAGTAACCGGGTACCGATTTTAGTATTCAATACGTGGACGTTCGATCGAGTACCCGGTTAACCGGGTACTCGTTGACATCCCTAATTGAAACACAAACGAGCGCAGCATCTTGCTTTAGGTGGGGGGTATTATATGTATAATATTATTTTGGACATTCTGAGAGTATTGTATAAGCAATGCATGCCCCTTTCTTAGGACCCTTTTTCTCTTTAGATATTTGTTTTATAATATCCTGTACATGAAATATGTTTGCTTTTTTTAA